TCAGGCTGGCCTCCACCTCATGGCGATCCTCCTGCCTCAGCCTCCCAAGTGCTGAGATGACAGGCATGCTCCACTTCTCACCAAGGATGGCAAGAAGTATTTCTGAGACACAGGCTGTGATTCCATAAAGGGCCTGACGAGGCCTGGCACAGACCTGCTGGCGTGACCGCCGCCACTCGCTCAGCGCCGCGCTTGCGCTCCGAGGAGCTCAGGCCTCGCCGCAATCAGACAGGGACTCAGCGCCTTACTCCATTGCATTACAAGTCAGCATCCTTGACGCTGCTGCGCAGAGCAGCCACCAGGGTGCAAAGAGGGGGATGACTTGCTGCCCACAGCGGGCACACATTGCCCGGTTGCTCTCAGGGCAGCCTGCCTGTCACCACAGGTGGTGGTGAGGGAGGTGGAGACACTTCTGCCTGCAGCAAGGAGAGGGCTATTCCACACCTCTGGGGTGCAGGGGGCAGAGAGAGGGCAGCGCACTCGCCCCGCGGCCGTTCACAGAACAGAGGTAGGCATGCAGGCTGCAGGCCGGGCTGGAGGCAGCCTGGGAGGCTCCGGCCCGTGGACTGTGTGGTTCCGATTTTATTCTCCTTCTGGGAGACGGAGGCAAAGTGAACTGACCTTTGGAAAAATAACACAAATCCTTGGAGAGAATGGCACACGGCTTTCTTGAAGTCTTTACTTTCTCAGGCCCCTTGCACGTGTTTGCTGCCGTGTATTATCATTTTCCTGCCGTGTAGCACTCCCCCGTGCCAAGCACACGTCCCGGAAAAGGCGGGCATGTGGGAAGAAAGCAGCTGCGGTGGTCGCAGAGGCCCCAGCCTTCCCCCGAGGGGCTGAGCTCGCTGAGGCTCTGCTCAGGAGTGGGCAGCGGACAAGGTGCGGTGGGAAGGGGGCGGCGGGGAGATCACATTCTGCAGCTGCCGCACAAGCCTCTGTGTTCTGTGGGACGCTGCGGCAGCCCGCCTGGCTGTCCCCTGTCCTGAGGGAGTCACAGCGAGGTCTGTCCTTCTCTCGAGGAGACTCATCCTCCTGGGGACAGAGTGACTACTTCCTCCAGGGCTTTTCCAGACTTTCAGCCTCTGAGGCACACGTGACCCATGACCTAGGAAAGGGAGGAGGCTGGGGCTGCAGGTGTGGCCCTGCTGTCACCACCTGCTACGTCCCTGTGGCCCCAGAGGTTCCTGAGATCCCTGAAATTCGATGACCTGGGACTACCTGCAGGGCCACAGAGCCTTCAGGAGCAGGTGGGAGAAGATGCTCTCTGCCCTTAGACACCCTGAGGAGACATCCCTGCTCTCTGCTCTTGGACACAGGCTTGTGCTGCTTCCTGTTGCTGGGCTAAGCAGAGCTGGTGACTTCCCACTCGCCGCTTGAGGGAGAAGAGCTGGTGTTTGCTCAAGTGTCAAAACCTCACCAACTGTTTGCCTCACCAAATGATCCGTTCACATGCTCTTTCAACATGAAAATGCTCTTTAATGAAGCAACACACAAGCTTTGAAAAAATACAAAGATGCTACGGTAAAAGCGTTGCTCTGAATCACATTGGTTTAGGGGCAAGCATGAAAATCAGAAATGAGAAAATGCAGAGCCTAGTCAACCCTTCTCCCCCGGGAGGGAAACGGCCCAGGCGCTTGCGGACGGCCTAAGCTGAGGCCAGTGAACAGAAGGTGGCTTCGAGGAGCGTTCCGCTTGTCTTCTGGAGAGGACCAGTGGTCTGGACGCTGCTGAGTTCTCACAGCTGGGGGCTGTGCAGGTACTGGCACAAAACAACTCAAAATTTCTTGGAGAATTAGAAAAATTGTGGCGATTTGACCGGTATTTGTTCACAGGGTTTCCGTGCTCCAAATGCGCGGGATCCGTCCCCCCTCCCCGGCTTGGCTCTGCTGGGTGGAAGCCGGGGCTCCCTCCCACAGGTCGCAGCGGTTCAGGAGGTCAGGGCAGCCGCGCTTGGTCTCGGGGCCGTGCAGCCGGCAGCACGGATCCACAGGGGTGACTCATTCTTGCTTCACACCTCACCCGTTGCCATTTCCCTGGCGGCTGAGCCTTTTCAGAAAATGGGGCCGTGGAGAGGAAGTGTAGGAGAGACCCGAGAGGAGAGGAAGAGGCCGGGGAGTGCCAGCCTCACGTGTTCTGTCACTGCCGTCTGTTCTTCCCTTGACAGTCCTGTTCCTTCCATCGCAAGGCTGATGGGGCTCGGTGACCCAGAGAGGCAAACAAAGCTTTAGCGTGCGGGACGCGGAGTGCTGGGCACCTCAGAGGGTGCCCTGGGGCAAGCCCCTGCCGGGAGCTGTGGCCACAGTCGTGACACCAGGGTGAAGGAAGGGGGCTGCCCCAGGTGAAATATATAAGTGGTGAACAAATGCAACTTATTTTTCACTTCTCAGATTTAGTAATATCTTCCTCATATACAGACTAAGGGGTTGGGGATGTGGCTCTGTGCAGCGGCAGGACACCTGACTAACATATACAAATGAAGCCCTTGGTTCAATCCCTGGGACCACAAACATAAAAACCAACCCAAAAAAAGCCATCTTCAAACATATGATAGGATTTCTCACATAAACACCCCATCTTCAGAGATGAGAAAAGGTAGCAAAGTTACACAGGCTGTGTGAACATGAACTGTTTTCATCGTTGATGCCTTAGATCTCTTTTCTGACTATTGTCATTGAGTTGTTGTAGCTGTTGAAGTGACCCTGGTGTCCTGAGGTGTCAGGCACGGCCACATGGACCCACGTGTGCAAAGCGTGGTCATATGTTCACCCATGAAAATATCACAGTGACTTTTATGACAGTGACCACAGGTTTAGGGCAGCTCTGAGAGCCAGAAGTGACCCTGGTCACTTCAACACCTCCTGAGCCTCCTCACTTCACTGATGAGTATATGGAGAGGCCGGGAAGGTTACAAGAACTATCTGAACACACAGCTGAGAAACGAGAGCTGTAACAGAACTGGGTCTTTGGGCTTCTAATCTGGTGCTTTTCAAACTGCTCTGTACCACAATTTGCCAAAAAGAGAAAAGGGCCTCTGTTAACTCTGGGCCTTGAGCCCCTGCAGTTGCTACCTCGGCTCTAATCAAGCACTCATCCTGACCCTGCCAGCTCAGAAGAGGAGTGAGACCTGGGGTCAGCGTCTGTGCCGAGTCTGGAGGAGCAGGGGAGGAGGCAGTGACAAATGCCTGGGACAGACTCCTGAGGTGTCAGGCACGGCCACATGGACCCACGTGTGCAAAGCGTGGTCATATGTTCCCCGGTGAAAATATCACAGTGACTTTTATGACAGTGACCACAGGTTTAGGGCAGCTCTGAGAACCAGCTATGCACCCCCAACATTGAGTTCTCACAGATGAAAGTGCACTGGCCAAAACCGGGTGGGAGTTGAGCCCTTCAGGTGTCCTCCTCGCCTCTCTCCCCCACCCCTCCCAGGCCAGTCTCTGCCCGTCCCAGAATCAAAACTTCCCCAAAATAAGACACATTCGCACCATAAAATAACAGCACGAGCTTTCTTCTGTATGCCAGTCGAAAGCTCTTCACATAACTGAACATCCAGAGATGGACAGGTGATGTTTGAAGAGGACAATCGGTCACCTGTGCTTATCCCCTGTGAGGAAGCCACCTCGCGCCCCCACGGTGCCCACCAAGGAGGGGGAGGGGGGAATCTCCCGGAGCCGGATGCTCCAGCGCTAATGTGACCCTGTTCATTCTTAGCACCGTTAGAAGAGTATAAAACCTTCATTTAGCAAAAATAAATAACCAGAAATATCAAGTTAGGTAACGTTGGAATCTATGGGTTCTTTCAGTATTGCCTGTCATTCACACAGAATGTCTGCTTGTAAAAATGCGATATAGACCAGAACTAAATTTAGCCAGATTTAAGAACCAGGCAGGCCTGGTCTCCACAAAAGCTACTGGAAAGAATAAACAGAAAATAAAACTGAAGTAAGAAATCAGTAGCAGCAAGTAGCTTTCGATAACAATATTGACAGCTTTCTAAGATTAAGGAGAAAGGCCTATTTTAATGTGATAACTATTTTAGTTCAATATCGCCAACTTTCAGTTTGGAACAAAACTGATACATCCAACTCAGCTGTCTAGTTCCAACTACAAAGCTATTTTAAATATCATGGTCACATGCATGTAAACATCTGGGAGAATTCAGCAAAATACCCTTGCCGTCCGGGAGTCCTCGCACTTTAATGAACATAATTACCTCTTAGTCATCCCGTTCTGCTGTAGTTTTTGACAACGTGCAAGCCACTGGCATAAAAATGAACTTCCAAGAAGACAAACGATTGAATCAGACCATGTTATTTAAATCTGTGAGCCCAGCGACTTTACCTTAAAGTCAAGCATCACATTGAAGAAGATGACATGACAAGGAGTTTCAGAGCAGGGAAATGCTCACGCGTGCTAACCGAACTGATTGGGAACATACAGTTACAAGAGGTCACGAACGGGCTACCTTGGACATCTTGCTGAGTTGCGTAAACATGTCATTCGGAGAGAAGGCGGAAGGTGCCCGAGCACCACCTCCATTTAGGACACTGGGTACCAAATGCCCTGTCTTTGGTTGAGCAGCCTTCAGTTAACACTGTTTATTTGCTAGGGCTTTCAAAATGAACCACGAAGAATAAAAGCACACAGGGCCGGGGAGATAGCTCAGTAGAATACACGCTTGCCTGGCAAGCGCAAGGGTCT